TCTCTCTCTCTCTCTCTCTCTCTCTCTCTCTCTCTCTCTCTCTCTCTGTGTGTGTGTGTGTGTGTGTGAGTATTGTGGCTAAATTGAAGTTCGGTATCTTTCGGAAGTGTTTATGCTTTTCATATTGCCGATGGATTGTTTGCCCAAGTGTGTGCTACGTGTGCATTATGAAGCAAACAACGCAAAAATCGAATGACGAGAGGAAGGAAAAAAAACGCGAACACACAAAGGAGTGTGGTAGAGTCGGATGTGAGCATTTCTGATATTCTTCGAAAGTGCTCAGTTCAAATGTATTTACTTATGGAGGCGAACGCCATTTTCATTTGATTAATTGTTTAGTGCAAAGGAGTGATTCAGTTTGGTTGTTCTGTTTCGTTTGCCTTGGTATACGTGTGATACTCTCATACATGCTGGCAACATCGCATGTTTGTGTAAATGGAATGAAAAAGTTTTATTCTATCAATATAACATTTTTGTATTTCTCTTTTTTTCCATGCGGTTGGCAGAGCACAATTTCTTTGGAAAATGCTGCTTTTGCCATCGATCTCGGTTTCGTAAAGAATATCAAAGTAGATGCTGTAATAAATACATAATAATGAAGAAGAAAAATAGCTGAAAACTTTGATGCACAACGAAAATTGCACCAAAACCAACAGAAAGGGGAAAAGAGGGAGAGAGAGAGAGAGAGAGAGAGAGAGAGAGAGAGAGAAGTATAGCTCAAGAAGGCTGGGAAATGAGCACAAAACTTTTGCCATTCAATCCCCATAAATTCAAGCTTTGATTTTTCTTGATTCAATATAGCTATTAGCAAAAAACTGCCGTTTTTCTTATTTTCACTTTCACCGGTAAATACATTTTACCGTTCAATAGAAGGTTTTGTGCGACTCTTTTCCGTCGGTATTATGTCGAATTGAAATGTGGGTGTAGGTTGTCCATTTTGACGCGAAAACAGTGAATGAATCAACAATAATGATTTTTTTTTTAGAGCGGGACTATTAAAAATTCTTTACCGAGTTCCGGGTGTATGCTTAAAATGTAATTTGGGATCAATCATAAATATCATCTCAATCAAGAAGTATCAATGTTTCCCTTTTCGTAAGTATGACGTCAAAAGGATTCCTCTTGCGTCAGTTAATGACAAAATATGAATGGTTCGTCATCAATTTTTAATGTGTATACGGACATTAAAATATACCACGAATAAACTTAAAATAATCCGATAATAGAGTATCAAATGAAATGCGCATTAAAACTGTTGAAAATGAAACAGAATTAAATATCAAAAAAATTGAGCCTTTTCTCAGCTCTCGGTAAAAATCAAAGCGCACGCGATACATGTTCACATTATTATTCTACATATCATAATTTATTTATAACAGTTAACTGCTAATAATATAGCACACATTGGGAAATTGAGCGACGGAAATGTCGATGTTTTTCTGATTTCATTTATATGTTCCAGTTTGAACGGCAGTAAAATGCTTCACATTCAATACACTGTAACAACAAACAAACAAAATAAATACGAGTACATCAAATAGTAATAATAATAAAAAGTAGAAGCGTCCATAAATTTTATTAGCGTTTAGTTGTATCTGGCTCAAGGCTCCGGCCATTTCATCACATACAAAAGCCCGAATCAAAGTCTTGAAAATGAGTGGCCAAAGTGAATGTTAAACAAAAATTACGTGCGCTCTCCGCTCACACTCAAAATAAAATTTACTTCCTTCACATTTCACATTCGAGATCCATCGGTTTGAAAAAGTTGTTCGTTCAATTTTTGCGTCGCTCTCTCTACCTCCCGGGGAAAGCCCCGTCGGATATATTCATATGCCATCAAATGTACATTTTCCTCCCGAACGGATGTTGGTCTTGAATCGCTAATAATTATTTATTCAATCATTATGTTCTCAATTATAGCTAAGTAGTTCATTTTATCGTTTTTTTTTCTTCTTTTGTTTCGGTGAGCAAATAAATGGATTCGACTGCAGAATTCGTTGTTTATGTCGACCGGATGGATTCGATACTAGAATTTGGCTAAAATGTGCGAATACCATTTTTTTTTAACAAGAAACTTTAATTTCTCGGTTTATACGCGCCTCTTTCCATACTTTGTCTCCTTCGGCGGCATCGAAAAACTCGAACCAAAACTTTCTTATCCCCCGCATCGATGCCATATGTACATAAATTGTTCATGATTTTGGCGTTACTTATTGATGTTTCGTTTTGGTTTTATTTGCTTTGTTCTTACTTTTTTTGTTTTTACGCCATTGTTTTTGTAGTTGTTGTTATTGTACTTTTTCGTTTCGATTTTATTTGTCGATGTGGCGTTGTTTTTATACCAATATACTGCCTGCTGGCTTGGCTGTCAATTCGAAATAGGAAAAACTTTTTAAATATTGATTACATTTTGTTCATTTTTCAAGTTTCATTCATTCTGTTTGGCAAATCAGCAATCGATAAATAGTAATTACATCAACGATTGGTTTGTTTATTTTGCCAACTACTTTGGTGTACTGGTTCTTTTCTCGTTTTCTCGGTGGCAGGCACAACATGCTCTCACCAACTTTTACCCATATTTCGACAACGACAACAATGACGACGCAATGTAAGCACCAAATTATAAGAAGCATATTCGCTCATGTTTATTAAATTTAATTTATCATCAAGTTTGATATTCGATTTTATAGAACATTCAGAATTTTCCATCGATTTCACTTCGATAAATGCATTTTTTTCCTTCTCATTTTTGATGGAATTTTGGAGAACGGAAACTTTGTAGGAAGGCAAAAGAGTGCAAGAACCAAACCATGTAAAACCGGAAAAAAAGTTATCCGGACAAAATTCTTTACGTGCTATTTATATTGATATTTTTCTTTTTTATTAACTGTTTATGTCGTTCACAGTATGTATGTATTTGTGTCGAATGAATCTCAACTTGATATATCTTGTTTTTTTTCTTCAGTTTCATGTTTTTGTTTACTACTACACATTAAAATGAATGAAATCCCATGCCTGACGAACTAACATCTGATTTTATATTCAGCATTGTCCGTAAATAGTCAAATGAAAAGTATTTTAAATGAACAACTAAAATAGAGACGAATGAAAAATGTCGGGCAAAGATGTTCCTGATTTAATGCCACTGTATTGTGTTTATTATTACTATTCCAATGTCTTTTGCGCATACATAATATTTTAACCTCAAAAGCCAAAGACGATGACGATGGTGGAAGACAACGTCGTCGACAACGCCAACAATAACACAGATGATGGGAGAGTACCTCTTGTATAAAATGCAGTATTTAATTTTAAGATTTTGTGCTGAAGATCCAGCAACACAATCGACAAATGCTTTGCTACTTTACTTGGCAAATAACAATAAAGAAAAGAGCACATGCACACTAATGTTTACCAATCGAAGCCGAGTGAAATGAATTATATTATCATATTGTTTTCATTGTAATGGTTTTCGCATTTCGCTGTACAGATGGAATGAACATGGAAAATGCCAACTTTTGCTCATGTTCTCGAAATCATTTTGCGCTTGTATTTATTGTTTGTCTTTAGCATTCAATTTATGTTAGTTCGTCTCTCGGTTTGGTTTTTTCTTCTTCTCTTTTTGGCTTTGCCGCTTTCTCGCTCTGGTTCTTTCTCTT